TACAACATCTTTAAAAAAAACGCAGTAATTGTTTTCCGAACCATCCATCGTACTCCATATGTAAAAATAAATATTAGCACACTATCCCAATCTAGGGGGGTTTTGAGTCACATACAAGCCAATGAGAATGAACGTATGAGTAGACAAGAGTTTGGCCATAAGAATTTCATCTCCGACTTGATTGTTTTAGAACAATTTATATCTCATAAACGCAAACAAAACAAAGACCAATGGTGTCAGTGGATCAGTAAACTTGCATAAGAAGACCCTGATAGTTTTTTAATCCGTTTAATTTAATAATATTCGATATTATAGCCAATGTTCTCTATTCTTCTAAATGTTGTAGAATTTGAAAGTGGAACTTCTTTGATAATTTTTTTAGTGAACCTCATACGACCTGAGACCACATGCAACCAGGTCCACGAAACTATTTCTTAATTTGTTACTAATTACTACAAGTTAATTAATTCTCTTTATTCCGAAGGCTTGAAAAAATTGTGATTCATATCTCGTCTGTCGCTGTAAGTACAAAGGACGTGCGACCTATTTACTTAAAAACCTTAAAGTAAACTTCAAGTTTTTCAGGTAAAAAAATGTTTCAGATACAAGTTATTTCGGGATCAAATATAAAATAATACGTAATTCTAAAGTAATTTCTGCACATTTAAACAAATGTATTTGGTATTTATGAATAAACATTGTTAATAAAAGATAAAACTTGTTATTTGTTTTAAGAATAGTACCAGGTTTTTCCTGGTTCTTGAGTCAAACGGGAAAATATTCTTGGCTTGCGGGGGTACCAAGTTAGGGCACCTTCGAATAAACAGTATGTATAAGGCAAAGTATAAATTTGTTCCTGTGTCTAAGCACTGCGCCATGAAGGCGTATGGGGGAGTGGAGGGGACGCTGAGATCATGGTCTCCTCGTATGAGAATGGTCAGATTAAATCTTCCTGGGCCTTACCCCCGGAATTCAGTGCATAAATGAATACATAGGGTCCCAGATCCAGTCCGAAAGCAGTTATAAAAAAATCCCATTAGTAATCTGACGTCACCAGTGGTCATTATACATATTAATAGTTAATTAGTGATGCATCACTTTGGTTTGGAAAG